AGTAATATGGTCACACCATCTTGTCCTCATTAATAAACAGACCACTGAATTGTGGACCAGTTGGAGACAGTGGAGAACAGACTGGTCAATTCCACTATAAAGTGAACTGCAGTAGTCCAGTCTAAAAAAGATAAAAGCATGAATAACCCTCTCAAGGGTGTCACGAGGAAGCAGATAAGCCTTAAATGATAAAAAACTGGATCTGACCATTGCACTGACCTGTCTGTCAAATTAAAAATAGTCTAAAATCACCCCAAGATTCCTAATAAAATCACAGTCTGAGTCCAAAGAGTCAACAGCACTGTTTAATCTTGCCAGTACGTCTGTTTTTCCAAATCTCAGGACCTCTGTTTTATCTTCATTTAAATGAAGAAAGTTTAGCTCCATCCAGGTTTAAAATCCCTTAAGTTCTCAGCCCTGTGCACTCCATCAGATCTCAAAGGCAAATAGATCTGAATGTCATCTGAATAAAAATGAAATGATACATCACATTTCCTGAAAATGGACCCCAGTGGAAGCAAATTAATAGAAAACAAAGTGGGGCCCAGTACTGAGCCTTGAGGTACCCCACATCCAAGAGGGGCCTCTGAGAACGAAAACCCACCAATTTGAACAGAAAAGTTCTTCAAGAATTTCTATACCCATTTTTCCTTTAACGCTGACAAATTTCTCTGTACCTGATGATTAAAAACATTACGGTGTGACACTGCCATGTTTTTCTGGTGGTATAGTGTTGTCAGGCATGGTGTTGCCTTGATGTCCAAAAAGTTTGAGTTTGGTCACATCTGACTGCAGCTTTTGTTTCATGTTTGTGGAAGAAAAGCCAACCAATGTCTAATTTTTGTAAAAGAGCTGCTGAGGTTCAGGGTTATTTTTCAGCTCCACTCTGTGAGCTTCGACGGGACTACGGAGCCTGTGACGGGACACGGGGGGAGTTTTTTCTTTTGTGTTCCCACACAATACTTTTTTGTTCCCTCAGAATACCTTTGCATTATATTGTTTTGAGTTCCCACGCAAAAAAATTGTTTTGTATATGAACTGAATTAAATCAGACTTTTATTTTGAAATATCCGGTAACCAAAACAGGATGTGTCGCCACAAGTTCGTGAAATTAACAATGATGTTGCGTGGCTGCACTGTGTCCAAATATCGTCATATGACATCCTTCCATGTGTGTCTGTGTGATATATTCATTGTGAAGCCGAATTAAAGCAGTAGGCTAACTCACTAATGGTGAACATGTGAGTTTGTTAATAAACCGGCAGCACAACAGTGATAAACAACTTTTGCGAGGGAACGCAAAAAGAAAAAAAATCCCCCATGTCCCCTCACGGGCTCTGATGGGACAGTTTTGACTTCGTAGGTTTGCTCTGATGATTCTTTTTATTTACGTAATAAATTAAATGGAACTACAGGTGATGGTCAGGATTGTAGGGTACATTTTATAACCCAAACCTGACATCTACTTGTCTTTGTCTGTGACCTGAGACTTCATTGGTGTCCATGCTGTCCCTTACTACCTGAACTAGTGTTGATTCTCAGGGCTGTTAGGTTAACTTCAACTGACACTTCAGACGAGTGCCTTCTGAAAAATGATTTGGACTTTAAAGCATTGAGGCTTAACACAACTGCACACACCATGTTTTAATTTTTAGATCTATCTAAAACAGATTTTCTTCATTAATCTGGAGAATATTTTTAGAATTATTAGTTTTAATGAAATTAAAATCCAGTTAAATTTCAGGTTGTCTGACAACAAAATATAAAGAGGGAAGAATACTTCTGCAATGCACTTATTTTAGATTTATGAACCTTAAAAAAATCAAACTAATAAAAATTTGACGTTACAAGTTATTGAACACATCCTCAAAAACTGAATAACAACAAAATTGTGTTGACGGTTAATCTGAAAACAGTGAATAATATGTTTTCTTCAGCACGGAGCGAAAGCACAGAGTGCACCGAACATTAGCACAATGAACAAAAGTACAAAATAAAATACATTCATGGAGACATTTTCACAAAAATAGACAAAGGTTAAAATAAATAAAAAAAGAGAAAAGCAGGACACCATCAGTTTAAATTTCAAATGGCTCAGTGGAGTTAAAACACAAACATGAGTTCATGCAGCTCACATTGTGCTGATGTGCTGTGAGACAACGAAACTGAATGTTGTTGTTTGTGAGTGTGTGCCGACACATTTAAACACATGCAGTGGTTTGTTTCTGTGAAATAAATATTATCACTTTGACAATCAGATCCTCCTGACCTGAGGCTGATCTCTAACTACATGTCTTCATTATTACACAACCATGCAGTTAGTTATACTGGTTCCTGTCTGGGAAAATGTCAAAGATCTACTGGGTTTTATCACAGATTGAATGATTTTTATATTTCTTTAGTTTGAATATATGTGAGGTTTGAGGTGGTTTACTCACACAGCACATGATCTTTTGAGTTATTTCTTTAAACAAAAAGGTAAAAAGGATGTTTAAAAATACAACTGCAGTTCTGACCAAGTTCTGATAAATATAAGTAAAAACATAATGTAATAATTTGCAAATCTCAAAAAACCCATGTTTTACTCACAACAAGACACAGTGAACATCTTTACATCAGGAATTTTTTTTCCATTTTTACATAAATAAAGGTAATTTTGAATAAATGAAATCATCCAGAAAAGCCCAATGAAAATGCATTAAAGGCAAAGTGGAAAATGATTTTCTGTTCAAGTTTTTTATTCTTTTAGGAAACAATGTTGTCTGTACTAAAGAGGAAATATCTGCTTGTTATCAGTCCCCAGTTCAAAAGCATGCCTCTCTGATGGTATGGACGTGCATTAGTGCTTATCAGAGTCCATGTGCTGACCTGACCTGACCTGCCTGAAAACATCTGGAACTGCTCTAAAGAGTCCAGCAGCTGCTCTCAGGTTCCAGATGTTTGCAGACGGCTGTAGAAACAGACATGATTAACAGTCGTGTCCAATCAAATGGAAAATGACTCTCATCTCTTTTTAAATTCAAAGACAGAACAAATTTTTAAATTTAAAGATCTAAAATGTTTGTCATGTTCCTTGCTGATTAAAATCTGGCTTTTGTGATTTGCAAATCATTGCATTTTTTAATTTTCTTTTTCCATTAACATTTTACACAATATCCCAATTTTTTTGAGTTGAGGCTATAAAACATATCAGGAAAGGCAACTTTAAAAAGATAAAAGCTACTGGTGCTAAAATAATCAACCAAGTAATATCTGGGTCAATATTTTCAAGGTAAAAATATAAACCAGCTTCTAAATATCTGGTTTGAAAATAAACAAAGATCTCATATGAAATGTGACTGAAAGCCTACCCTGAATAAATTACATAAACCCAATGTTTAATTTAAAATATTTTGAATGTTTTTATCAATTGAAAGAAAAAACATTTGTGAAGCAACTTGTGAAAGAGACAAGAAGCATTTTAAAAGTAAGAAATACCAACAACCAAAATAAAACAGGAGACAAGTTTAAACCAACTGAGCATGGTTGAATAGAATGAAAGAAACATTTATTTATTCATGTTGAAGTGAATTCAGACTGAACCAGTTCAGAAAAGTTAACTTGAACCAGTAAAAATAATCTACTGGTGCCCCCCCCCCCGCCCCACCTTCAGCAGCCTCTTCAAAGCTTTTAGTAGTTATTCAGCAGCAGATGGATGTTTGTCATTCATATATTTCACTGGATTGGGCGTCACGTGACCTGGGCGTGGCTTCGCAAGCAGGATTTTTATGCATTGAGCTAATGCTAATGCTAACCATTGAAATCAATGAGCAGAACGTAGCATGGTGCAAACAAACACTTTATAAATGTACAAATGATTCAAATACTTTGTTATAAACTGCAGAAATATTTACATGTTTACAAGACATAAAAAAGGTTATGATTCACAGGTTACAAATATTTAACCAAAATTAACTATTTTAATTATAAAACCTGTTTGCTAACATTAAACAGCTTTAATGTTCATGTTTAACCTGATTTAAAATTGATTTTATCTGTTGTCAAATACTGTTTTAGTCATTTAAATTAGTTATCTATTTTAAATTTCCATAACTATAAAATTCATAATTTCCTCAGCTTTATTTTGAACCATAGTTTGTAAAAATGGATCAAGAAATCAGGAAGTTATAAGAGTTTTTCATCAGGAGGACACCTCACAGTCATTGACTGAGGCTCCTCAGTGCAGAACAGAGCTCCAGTGTGTGCATGTCAGTGTGTGCACGTCAGTGTGTGCACGTCAGTGCTGCAACGCACTAGCCACGCCCACTCCAGTAATATATATGAATGATGTTTGTGCCTGAGCGTGTTGGTGAAGGTGCTGCTGCACTGGTGTCTGCTCCGACACGTTTCCCTGAGAACCACAAACACTTCTACAACCGGTCATGGCAAAACGCTGCGGGTAATAACTGGTGGTAACTTTGTGGTGCTGAATAATGACTAATAATTCAAAAATGAATAAGCACATTTTACAGTATGGTGCAGCATTACAAGGAAAGCCAATATTTACAAACTGCTGATGGTTTTGACAAAGCTCAGAGGACAAACTTCCTGTCAGAAGCTGTGTTCCTCCTGCAGACAGACTGCTGCTGGTAGAAAACACGTGTTGATGACATCACTGAATCCACTCACAGACTGTCAGCATTTACACAACAAACTGCTCATTTTACTACAAGACCAGTTCGATTCTTTAAAATATGAAACATAATCCACAGTGAACTCCCACATCTGCCCCCCTAGGGGCAACAATGTTACACATACTGTCATAGTACAGCATATACTTCTATAATACATATTGTACTATTACAAAGACATGTAACTACAACCAACCTGATAACGAGTGTGAAATTGTGTACACAGTATTAGACTATATATTTATTTTGTTTCTGTGTTTGTTTGTTTGTGCATTCGTAGTTTCCATGTGAATGCTTCTTTTGGCTTTAAGCAGTAAACTGCTCGACTGGACCGCGAGTTTTCATCACAAACAGGGTCTTTCCCCAGACTGCTGGACAAACTCAGACTCTTCACAGTTTTCTTCAGTGTCCAACTCTTCTTTCCTGTCCTTTTTAAACTCATAAACATGATTCACTTTATAAAAAAATAAGTTATTGCGCATCAAAAAAGTGCATCATTTCTTTGAAAAATATCTCACTCTTTTTAAGCTTCTCCATTTTTCTTCAGCGTTCCTGAACACTGGGTCCAACTCTCCTCACTGAACTCAAAATGGAGTTGAGTTTGGGTCTTTTAGCTTAGCGCTCCATCGTACCACTGCGTCGCAGAACGGGACCAAGACAGAAACAGGCAGCAGGAAAACAACAGGAAGGGGAGTGTCGGGCTATGCGATAACCATGGGGACATCATCTGAGAAACCGCTGATCATGGGAGCATCTTCATCATCGTCACCTAAAAGTTTAAAAAATAAATTAAAAAAAGGCTTTTATAAAGAGTCACTTCTAAAGAAATTAAATGAGCATATACATATTTAGTTTTGTTTTGAATTTTGATTTGTCTGACATTTGTCAGGTCTGATTTTATTCAGTTTCGTATATAAATATGTCGTAATGGTTCGATTTTGTGTCACCAAATAGTCTCCAGCAGTCTGTTGTTATACTTTGGTGAGGGTTATGTTGGTTAGGTGAGATAAAAAACAAAATCATGACATTTTTCCATCCTAATTCTCTCCAGTTTGCTGAGTAAGTTGTTTCCAGTGTATTTTACACAAACATTCCCAGTCAATATTGTCTATTTCTACGCCCATTTTCCCATCTTTTTTAACACCCAGTGTGCCAAGTGATTTGTTTTCCTGAAGTCCTTTGTATAATTGTGTTATAACTTTTTTAACTGAGCCAGGGTTATAAGCCAATTTAAATATATTTATTATTACATTATTACTTGTCCCTGAAATGGCTTTCTGGATTTCCTTATATCTGTTTCTCATTTGTAAGTATCGAAAGAAATCATAATTATTTAGACCGTATTTCCCCTTAAGAGTTTGAAAATCTGCCAGTTGTCCATTATGTTCATATATAAAGTATGAGGTGAATCCATTTTCTGTCAATTCTTTAAAGCTCTTGTCATGGCAGTTGGGTAAGAATTCACTATCATATGCACACAATCGTAACATCATTTCTGCTTTGGTTAGATTATTTTCTTCACAGACTTTATTCCAAATGTTAAAGGTTAGTCCTATCCAAGGATGTTTATCATCAATCAGATCAGTTTGTAGTTGTCTATCTGCTATTATAGCCTTATTGGAGTGTTTCTAGTCAAATGCTCCTCTATGTCTTTGCATCTGGCTGTAAAATTAGAATCCCATAAACACACCAAAGGCCTTAACTGAGCTGAATAATAATAATCTCTTAAGCATGGCAAGGATAAGCCACCCTGAGCTTCTGAAAGTTGTAATATACTGTGTTTTATTCTTGGTTTTCGACCCTGCCTTATATAGCAGGAGATCATTTTATCCCATTCTAAAAATTCATGTTTTGTGACCTCAATAGGAAGAGTCTGAAATAGATAGAGCAGGTGGAGTAAAATGTTTGTTTTTATTGATTCAACTCTATAAATTAGACCCAGGGAAGGAAGGTATGAGGCTCCATCTTGACAAGTCTGATTTAATTTTTAAGTTTATTGGGTCATAATTTATTTCAAACAATGTGTTAGTATCCCTACATAAATTCACTCCGAGGTATCTAATAGAATCCTGATCCCACTCAAAACTATATTTTCTTTTTAACTTTTGTGAAGGTTCAAAACTAAAAGTCATAGCCTGAGTTTTTTGTTTATTCAATTTATAACCTGACAATGAACCAAATTCTTCTAATGTGGTCATTAACTGAGGTAAAGATTCTTCGGGCTGGCTCAAATAGATTAAAATATTGTCAGAAAAAAGAGATCATTTTTGGTCACGTCCTTGCATTTGTATCCCTCTAATATTATTATTTTGTCTGACACACTGTGCAAGAGCTTCTATAAATAAAGCAAATAGTGCTGGGGATAGAGGACAACCCTGGCAACTTGATCTTTCCAATGTCAGTGGTCTTGAAAGGTTTCTGTTTATTTTAATTTTTGCTGTTGGTTTATCATAGACCAATTGTATTGCTTTAACAAAAATATTGTGAAATCCACACCTATTTAAAACTTTGTAGAGAAATGACCAGCTTATTGAGTCGAATGCTTTCCTGCATCCAATCCAATCAACATTGCTACCATGTTGTTCTTTTTAATTTGATGTATTGCATGAAGGTCCAGAAAAAATGGTGACGTGTGCACACGCTGCGGCTTCTCTCTCTCCCAAGGAAACAGCGTTTTTGTGATTTTTATCCTGCAAGTTGCAATGTTTTTGGATGTCTTTGTCGCACATTCATGTCCTGAAACTCACATACAGCCGTGAGTTTCTACTTGAAGCTGGCAGGAACTAATTTTTGGAGTTAAACCACAACCTCCGTGAAGAGCTGCGAGCCGGCGGCGTGCCCTGGACTTCTGCACCCCCACCGACCCCCACCACTACAGCGCGCCCACAGTGGAAGCGCCACAAAAGGCGACGCAGGAGGCAGAGGAGGGGTAAGTGTGGAGGTATCCGAGCTAGGCTAGCGGCTAGCTCGCACAAGCCAGCAAAAAAGTATAAACAACTGTGTTAAATCCATCCATCCATCCATCCATTTTCTTCCGCCTATCCGGGGTCGGGTCGCGGGGGCAGCAGCTTCAGAAGGGAGGCCCAGACCTCCCTCTCC